ATCTGGACTGATTATCTGGCCTGATTCAGACTGAAGGCTCTGAAATCCAGCTAATGTGAAAGGTTCTGGCAAGAAGAGTGAAAAAGTCCTTTAATTCTCATGAGTGGTCACCTGCAATGCAGTTGTCACAGAAAGAGAGTCTTCAAGGGAACCAAAAACATAGTCAGAGAACCATATGCAGGGACGTAGGATTTCAAGGAATACAGAGGGAGTGCATGACATCTGACAACTTAAAAAGAATTACAAACTCAAAATCTAAAGTCCGTGGTTCAACAGAGAGAAAGAAAGCCACTTCTCTACTTCAAAATATTTTATCAGTTGTGTCATAGGGCTGAGATACATAGAAACCAGATTCAGCTTTTGATCCTGCAATTGCCACTATTTTGCAGTTAACTTCACAGCCTTGTCAGGTACCTTCTGTGAAAGTTGAAGCTTTGAAAAGGAATTTAAAGACTTAGGGAGATATTAACTTGAAATGGATTGCTCACATATAACATGTACATTCACACCCCCACCCCCTGTGTTGCCAAAAGGACTCTAAAAAACACTCCCTTCAAAAACTGTTGGTGACAGCAGCCCCATCGTTTTTGAAAAGTGCTCTGGGAAATGTTCTCTGTTGAGTTGGGATGCTGGTAGGAGAACTGCTATTGAAATGCGATGCTTCATTTCAAATGCAAAGGCAGGGTCCTGGAGGGGTAGATTGTTTATAGCAGCCCTTGATGCCAGAGGCAGGGACTGGTAAAGGGATAGTTGTGTTTAGTAGAGTGGTTTGACTCACACTGATCTATAGTGGCAGGTAATCAGTTAATGATACCTAGTCCTGAAGAAAATGAGAAGTCCACCAAGAACCTACTGGATTCTTATCACATACACACAAAAAAATTCCTGTGAATGAAACGTAACTTAGAGTCATAGCATTTCATCTAAATCTCAAACCATAGTCTGTTTATAGGCCTAGGGCTCCTAAAATGAAGGAAGAATTTCTTGAGGAAGGAGCAGATACAAATCTCACAAGTATGCACAGAAAACCTCTTAAGTCTCTTCTAAAATGTCACGTGGCCATTGGCCCGAGTATCTGTGAACTGGGAAGAGTGCAATGATCAGATATTTTAGGCACTGCTGGAACTGGACTCCAACGGACCTAATCCCTTGGGTCCTACACCATCACTTTTGTCTATTAGAACGGAGGCTTATATGGATCAGTAAAAGGAATTTTGACCCCTTTCAACTTCACTGGTAGCTCACTGGTGTGTCAAAACCATTGTTTGGCTATTCTCTATGTTCTGTGTATATTATTGTTATAATATACTTAGCAAATGATAATATTTCCACAATGACTTTCTAAATCGGTGAGTGACAGATATTATGATAACATTGAGGCGTGTAGCAGCTCCTCATGCTTCTCTTTTCAGTGACATTGAAAACCAAGTGCAAATTTCCTACCAAGACACATTGGTAAAATGCATGCCAGGAGACTGGACATCAACTTCATGAAAACAGAGGGGCTTGTTTTCTTACTGAAATTTCCAAGGCCCTGCAGCCTGGGGCTTGCAGGATAATTCTTGCAAAGGTAAAGGAAAAGCTGCTATAACTTGGGTTTTGGAGGAAATATGTATTACAATTGGGAATGTTATGTCATTTATTATTTTTATTTATGCTTAAATTACTACAAAATTTGCAGTGAAAGAGAAGAAGGTAGCACACAATTCTAGACATTGGCTTGGAGGGAAATTAAGCAACTAGAGGCATGTCTCAGAATGGGGATGGTCTGGCAGTTGAGTCAAGTTCAAAGGGTGTAACAATCTGATGTGTGAGCCAGGCCAGTATTGTGAGACCCGATTTGATTGTGACAGGAAATTCACTTGGCATTGACCTTCTAGGATAAGTTTGTTAATTCATTTTTCTTTACATCTTCTGCCATATGCAGATAGAACAAAATTTTACAAATAAACTTTCAGGAGCAAGGCCATGAGAGGACAAGAGAGAGAGAGAGAGAGCTGGAGGTTCTCTAGTGCTGGGTGCTAGTTCTACCATGATGTTCCACGAATTTACCCAATATTATTGTGTGTTCATGTATTTTTATATGTTTCTATGAATATTATTTAATGATTTATAAGATATCATACTAATATATTTATATGTCATTGATTATATCCATGTATAGGGCTCCGTGGTACAAATAAACCCTGGTTACTTCCTTTCTCTCACTATCAGCCATTATCTCCCTTTGTCACTATTACTAACAGAGCTGCAGTAAATAATTTTGAATTTGTCTCTTCGTGCACATGGGATATTTTCTCTGGAATAGACAACAAAAGGTAAGCGGATTATGGTCCCTCAACCTTGTCCATGTCCTAATTCCAGGATTGTATAAATATACTGCCTTCCATTACAGAGGGGACTTTGTAGGTGTGATTAAATGAAAGATTCTGCAGTAGGAAGTTTATCCCAAATTATCTAGGTGGGAGCACTTAAATCATAAAGGCCTTTGAAAGATGGAAAGAGGGGCAGTAGAGTAAGAGGAGATGTGAAGATGGAAGCAGATGTTAGAACCACGTGGTTACTAGCCTGGAAGATATTGTGGGACCACAAACCAAGGAATGTGGGTAGCCTCTAAAAACTGAAAAAGGCAAGTTATTTTTTTTATTGAATGCTGGAAACTGTATACATTAAACTGTAGAGGTCCAGGTGACATTATAGTCCTCCCTCAGGATGATTTACTTTTTCTTCTGCAAGTCAGAGGTGGGGCTGAGCACATTAATGCAATCAGAAAGTAAGCTGACTCAAGTTGGGTTACGGTTTTGGTAGGCTCAGGCTTCCTCTCATTCATTTCTGCCCTGGGTCATAGCCCGTTAGAGAATTCAGCTGGGAGGCTGTTATGTGTACTGGAACTCCTGTTCTTGGTTATTCCTGGACTCCAAACCTGGCTTCTTTGGCACGATGGATTGCCAAAAATCCTGCTCTGCCTTTCTGAGCTTCCTCCTTGGCAGCCCTCCAGCCTCTTCCCTTACACCGTTTTGTAATTTGGCAAATGTCTAGAGAAGAAAACCATCTACATTTTTCTCTTTCCATTTTTTTTAGGCCACTAAAACTGCTGATTGTTTTTCTATTTGTAGGTGGAATTTTCTGCTCAGGTGAAATCTAAATTCTTAGCCTTTGTCTGGTTCCCCAAATCAGCAACTGGGCCTGGGAAAAACTTGTGGCAAATAGTCATCTCTTTTCTCCATGGTTCTCCCATCTCTACAATCCAGGTCTCCCCTGAATTTCACTGATCTGTAGCACTCCAGTTATACCTACAAACACATCATTCTTGTTATTGTCCAGCTTTTCCTATTGTCCTCATAAGGAATAGTGTTCTGCCACAAAAGACGCTAGCTTGTCTAGAAACTGAGTTATTGTTCTAGTGCATATAATTCTACAGGATCAAATCTTATTAGTTATGTCTCCAGCCTCATTTTTCAATGTATTACGTTAACTTTGGTTGCAAACTAAGTTTTAGCAAGATCTGCTGTATCCATTAGTCTTGTGTGGTTTGAGTTGTGAGCAGGTCTTTCCACAGGCACTTGGTGATTTCCCGTATACTCCAAAGCCACAGGTTCATGGAGTGAGCAACCATTCAAGCAGTATGGTTTTTTAGTGAGGTCTCAAGTAATATATGGTTCTGATACTATTTTCAGTCCCTATATCAACATTACAACCCCCCAGTCCCCATATTAACGGTACTGATGCTCTCTCCCTGGGAACCTTCAGTGTTATTTCACATGTACAACACCGGTTTTCAGATCTCTCTTGAGGTTTAGAACCTGAAATTCCTTCCTTACTATTTTGCCAAGTTATGCTATATATTGAAAAATAAGCTTGTTGTATTTTATCCAGCTTTTCTAAATGCTTATATTGAAAGTTTTTTATGTGCTAGTTTACCAATTTGGTTTTCTACTAATATGAAACAATGATAAGAAAGGATAATTTGCTTTAAAAAGTCTTTTAAATCTGGTGAACAAACTATTTTTGGCTCTTGAGAATAAGTACTTATTGTCATAATTAGAAAACATTTTATTACTGATTCATTGAAAGAGGGCGTTAGAAATAGTTTTGTTGGTCTGGCTTGAGTGACTACATATACTTGAAAGAAAAAAATTATGCAAGAAGCAAAACAAATATTCTATTTTTCAGATTGTCATCCTCCAAAATTGGGAATGGCATACATACAAAGTTATGTTTATAATAAGAAAATAATTGTAAAACAATTTAAATGTCAACACTTGAAGTAACTTTGTAATAATAAAAATCACTTAGGGTACAATTTTCTGATGCTGTTTTCTACTAGCAATGAAGCAGCATAGCAAAGTCTTCGCAATCATAACAGCATTTGAATGTATCATCTAATCATGAAGCCTTTGTCCATTACTAAATTTAGAGCCAAGGCTTTTTTTGTGTGGAATGAAATACTCAGTAATATTGGAAGAAAAAGAGGCAATTAAGACAGAAATAAGGTTTTTTGATTACAGTGAGGGATTTTGAAATCTTTATTGTTGCAGAATTTAAAACCATGCCTAACAGACAATGCTGAAGTTGATGTGCCAATTTCACATTGCTTGATGGAATTTTCAGTTAATGGGCTTTCTCCTAAAAGTCAGAATAGAAGGCATTTCATGACCCAGTAGCCAACCTCATTTGTAGAGATGGTGGCGACTTCCTGTGTTTTTAATGCATTCTGGGAAACCGCCACGACTTGGCAAAGGCTCTCTGTGGTTGCTTTAGAGTGCAGAGCCTCACTCTGTACAGTAAAAATAAAAGCAAATTTTTTGGACACAGTCTTTTTGTTGCTTTATTTAATTTTCACTTTGGCATACAGCCCTTGAAGCTTTAATAGTGCAGATGCGGTCTTGAAAGGGCTGACTAATCCAAGTTGGTTAATGATTTGATGATGGAAGCCAGCTCAGCAGTTTTCTCTCAGCTCATGTATTTAGTTCCTCTTCTGCTGGATTTTCCTTCTTCTGGAAAACCTCTCTATGGTCCACCTATTGTAAGTCCACGTTTTCCTGAGTTGTTGAGGTGACTCCTTCAGGTTTCTGGGCTGCCAAGGCACAGGTAGAGTAAATGCTACTAACACTGTGCTATTGATTCCCGGAGGGCCAAAGCAAGTTGTGGCTCCTTTCATAATCCACAGCGTGATGACTGAAGGTGGTTCTGTGGGACAGAAGGTTGATTGTGCAGGGTTAACTTTTAGAAGGAGTCTACATGAATTAGATTATTTTGAAAGATTTTATTTATTTATCTTTAGAAGGGAAGGGAAGGAGAGAGGGAGAGAAACATCAATGTATGGTTGCTTTTCCTGCGTCCCCGGCTGGGAACTGGCCTGCAGGGAACCGGCCTGAAACCCCGGTATGTGCCCCGACTGGGAATCAACCACGATCGTCTGGTTCACAGGCCCCCGCTCAATCCACTGAGCTATACCAGCCAGGGCTTGAATTCGATTTATTGATGATCATTGGCATTCCTGGTATTAGTGTCGGACTGTGGAGAGAACATGGGTTCTGGGTACCGAAGGGTGTTGTACATTTCTTTGAGCCCCATTTTTGACAGTGATTTATATTAATGTCTACTCCACGGGATTTTTTTGTGATGATTCAATTGCAGGAAATGATGTTTCCCTAACTTTAGTTATTCACATTCCATACAATTTATGTTATATCTGGATTTTATCTGTTTTAATATTTAATAAGTAGGTCTCCCCACTTACAAAAATCTGATACACTAGTTATGTCTTTTGCTATTATACATTAAAATAAATGAAAACTCATCTCTTGCACATTTCAGAAAATACTGATATCATGTTCATATGGTACTTAAAGGGTAGCCTTAAATTGCACTATTTTGTATCTCCCAGTAGTTGGCAAGTTACATGACAGCAGGGGCTTTTATCCAATTTATTTACTTTGATATCTTTATACCTAGCATAATATCTGGCACCCAGAGGAAACTCAATTTGTGTGAAGACGACCCTGGGGCTTCCTGTTTACTTGGGAAACAGGCCAATGGGAGAGGTGATGCGCTTGCTGACACCCGTGCACCACTGTCCACAGCAATAGGGCGCCCTCCTCTGGCAGGAGGCCCCATGCTTAACCCACATTTCCCATGCACTCCAGGCTTTCCCAGATTACTGCAAAAACTTCTAGAATTTAAGGTCCACTGGTCCTAGTATTCCTATTGCCACTACAGTCTCTCTTTGGCCAAATTTTCTCTCTCTCTTTCTAACACACACACACACACACACACACACACACACACACACACACACATTGGCGAGGTTGTTTATATGCCTGCCCTGTAAGAAGGGAGATGAGCACAGCGACAAGAGCTCTTCCTGGGCACCTTCACCCACAGTGTGTCAAACCACACACATCTGCTAGGGGAAGAAAGGATGGGGCCTGTGCCCTTTCTCTGCATGTAACCTTAAGCTTAACTTGTACCTGGCCCTAGGTACTTTAGTCTTTACTGTAGTATGTGGAAATCTTCATGACCATGGGCAAACAGAAGGGACACAGACGGCATCACAAAAGGACTGTAGCACATGCATGCAACTTCGTGTTCAGTTAAACAAAACACTGAACTTGGAGCATATCTCTACACAGTACCCAGTTTCTGGTGCATACCAGTTACACAGTAAATGTTTGTTGACCCCATGGTGAATGGACAAATGAATACTTACAGACAGTGAAAGAATAAGTGGCTAAAAAAACTTCACAAGTAATGGTATCATTTAACAGAGTGAAATGTCATATCTCCAAAAAGTAGTGAACCTGAACTTAAGTTCTCTGTCACTTTCAGAGCACAATTTTTAGATAACCAAACTTTCTGAAAAAATAAAACTCATTTTTCAAAGACTATATTTACTTCTTGAATAAACTTTTTAAAAAGGGTACTCTACTTCTCTGCCTTATTAAATCTGATATATAGTATATAATTTAACATTGTCATTAACATTTATTAGTACCAACTGCACTTTAAAATCAGATAAAAGTAGATATTGAACACATACCATTGCCAGCCATCTTCCAAACATTGTTGTTATTTTTAAGTATATTTTATTGATTATGCTATTACAGTTGTCCCATTTCTCCCTCTTTTATCCTCCTCCACCCAGTACCCCCTTCCACCAGCATTCCCCACCCCCTTATCTCATGTCCATGAGTCGTACATATAAGTTCTTTGGCTTCCCCATTTTCCATACTATTCTTAACCTCCCCCTGTCTATTTTGTACCTGCCAATTATGCTTCTTACTCCCTGTGCCCTTTTCACCATCCTTCTGTCTCCCCTTCTCCACTGACAACCCACCATGTGATCTCCATTTTTGTGATTCTGTTCCTGTTCTAGTTATTTGCTTAGTTTGTTCTTGTTCTTGTTTTTTTTTTGGGGGGGGGTTAAGTTGTTGATAGACATGAGTTTGTTGTCATTTTAGTATTCATAGTTTTGATCTTCTTTTTCTTAGATAAATCCCCTTAATGTTTCATATAATAAGAGGTTGGTGATGATGAACTCCTTTAATTTGACCTTATTTGAGAAGAGCTTTATCTGCTCTTCCATTCTAATTGAAAGGTTTGCTGGATAGAGCAATCTTGGGTGTAGGTCTTTGCCTTTCATGACTTTGAATACTTCTTTCCAGTTCATTCTTGTGTGTAAGGTTTCTTTTGAGAAATCAACTGATAGTCTTATGAGAACTCCTTTGTAGGTAACTGTCTACTCTTCTCTTGCTGCTTTTGATTCTCTCCTTATCTTTAACCTTGTGTAATTTAATGATGATTTATGTAGGTGAGTTCTTCCTTGGGTCCAATTTCTTTGCGACTCTCTGAACTTCCTGGACTTCCTAGAAGTCTATTTTCTTTGCCAAATTGGGGAAGCTGCCCTTCATTATTTTTTCAAATAAGTTTTTGATTTGTTGCTTTTCTTGTTCTCTTTCTGGCACCCCTAATATTTAGATGTTGGAGTGTTTAGAGTTGTCCCAGAGGATTGCAAGCCTCTCCTTATTTTTTGAATTCTTGTTTTTTCATTTTATTCTTATTGAATGTTTATTTCTTCCTTCTGTTCCAAATCATTGATTTGAGTCCTGGTTTCCTTCCCTTCACTATTAATTTCCTGTATATTTTTCTTTATTTCACTTTGTATAGACTTCACTTCTTCCTTTATTTTGCAGCCATACTCAGTCATTTCTGTGAGCACCCTGACTACCAGTGTTTTGAAATTTGTATCTGATAGGTTGGCTATTTCCTCGTCACTTAATTCTTTTTCTGGAGTTTTGTTCTGTTCTTTCATTTGGACCATATTTCTTTGTCTTGGTGCATCTGTTACATTGTATGGGGCAGAGCCTTAGGTATTTGGCAGGGTGGAGAAGCCCACTTCACTGCATTCTAGCACTGTATGTGGGGGTGAGGTCAGAGAGGGAACAAGGCCATTTGATCAGCTCTCACCCAGCATTCAGTCACTTCCCCAGCTACTCACAAGCAAAGTGGGCCCTGTGCTGACTCCCGGGTGGGTGGATTTGTGTACATTGTGGACCCTGTGGGTCTCTCCAACAAACTCTTCTATGAGACTGGGAGTTTCTCCCACCACTGCAACCCCCATAGATGTTATAGTCAGAGGTTTTGAGGCTTTAGTTTCCTGTGCTGGAACCCTGAGTTATGTGGTCTGTCTCGCTCCCGAATTGTTCCTCTCAGCTTATCTGAATGTGAATGTGGATGGCTTGGTCCACCAGCTGTGGCCTTGCCCTCCAGGTCCCTTGCCACGTATCATCTCTGCCCCAGCTGCCCATCTCTGCCCCTTCTACCAGTCTGGATGAATGTTTCTTCTTTAACTCCTTGGTTCTCAGACCTTCATAAAGTTTGATTTTCTGGCAGTTCTAGTTGCTTTTCATTTTTAAATTGGTTGTTGTCATTCTTCTGATTGTTTGAGGAAGCAAAGTATATCTACCTATGCCTCCATCTTGGCTAGAAGCCCCATCTTCCAAACATTTTAATTTTATGTTACAACTGTATCAAATAGGTGACACTCTCTCCATTTTAAGATGAAAATTGATGTACACTCCTAAGATCTCACTACTAGAAATGATGTACTTTTATGTAACTTGCTGTTCTCCACACTAGACATCCATGTTTCTTTAACCCCCTTTGTTATCACTGGTATTAATGCATTGTTTAGAGGTAATCAAGCCTAGAGATAACCAATGGAAAGTAGAGCCTGGTACCAGAAATGGCTTTAACATCAATGCCAAATTTCCCCATAACTTTAGTTAAATGGTCCTAACCCTTGGGGACTTTCTTGCTGGTGTGTCCTCCTCAGAGCCCAGCACATGGCGTGTGTTCCCTCCACACAGCTGCCTCCCCCTGTGCAGCCTCTCCAATCCAACCTCACCTCCTTGCCCCAGGAAACCTCAGTTTCTTCCCTTTCACTGTGCACTGCAGCTCACCTTCCTCTTTGTAATTTCTTCTCCTTCTTCTTCTTCTTCTTCTTCTCCTTCTTCTTCTTCTCCTTCTTCTTCTTCTTCTTCTTCTTCTTCTTCTTCTTCTTCTTCTTCTTCTTCTTCTTCTTCTTCTTCTTCTTCTTCTTCTCTCCTCCCCCCCTTCTCTCTCTCCTTCTCTTCTTCTTCTTCTTCTTCTTCTTCTTCTTCTTCTTCTTCTTCTTCTTCTGTCATGAAGAGATTATTTTTCATGCTCAATAGTTTCCCCCCCAGATATTTTCTTAAACGAAGAAGTATCTCCACCACTATATGGAAATAGCTATCTGTGGCTACTAGCATTTTTTTGTTTTAAATATTGATATTTTAAAATTCTTACTACATCTATTATTATCAAAAAGTTGAAAAGAACTTAAATGCAGGATAATAAGAAATTGGCAAATAAAAAGTTTTTACTAGAAAACTTTAATCAACTTTTAAGAGAAAAAAAGATTACAAAAGATTACTAGGCATGATGTACACTTTGATAACCCATGTTTTTTTTTTTTTTTTTAAAAAGAACAGAAGTACTCAGGACTTCTATTATAAATACCAAGCACTGTTTGTCATAGACTGTAATGAGGCAGTTCCCTCTGGCTC